CCTGAAACATCAGCCTTCCTGCTCCTCTGATGCTGCTTGGCCTGCTGTGTTCATCCAGCTCTACACCTTGTTATCTTAGATTTCACATGTGGTATCTTTTTCACCAGCTCCCATTATTTCTTCCTGATATTCCAATCAACAGCGTAATTACTGTTCAGGGACCTACATACCACCCACACAAGTGCCTCCTTTCACTGCTTCTTATCTTTATCTAAGTTGACACTACATCTTTAACTTTAGATAACCACTGAACTCCATACCAATGCAAATCCATTTAATTCACAATCGAGCTCAATAGATTGCCACTAAAGTCTTATAGGGGACTCTTCTATATGACACCCAATCTAAAGCTTTTTGAAAGTTGAGTTAGATCAGTCTACAGTCAGTCATTCAACAGTCATTCCAACTACCAAATGGGAGATTTCTATTGCCAAATCCACAAAATCACATAGGTGTTTCAGCAGGACTGTTTCTACACAACAGAAGAGATAGATGGACATTTGAAGGGACAGAAAGTATATACAATAGATTAGTGGGGGTAGGGTGAAATTGGAGGCAGTGGAGACTATACAGTGCTCAGGTACCTGAGGACCAATACTGCTCTTTATCAGGGATTAATGTCATGTACTTTACATAGAAACAAAGCCTCACAAACACACTTTTCTCTCATTTCTAATGCTATCCCATGCAAACATTTAGTCCAACCTGCAACAGTCGAGATTTCTAGCAAGTTATCAGAAATGCAAACTTAATCAGAAATTTGAACACATGGAGAGCCCAAAGATCATGAAGCGGGGATTCTTTATTCCATTGGCATCAGGTAGTTGCAAACATGATGGGAAATCAAGGTTAAACAAGAAGGATTTTGCAATACTTACATGAATTGAAACCTGTGATTTACATGGAGTTGAGAAAATCTTTGTCTGTCTGCCCTTGATTCCCGTAATACTTTCTTCCCCAAAAGAGGGTCTACACAACTGCTCCAGTTGCCCTTCCTCATTGTCACCAGAGATCCTGGCACAACTATTCACATTGTGCTGCTTAGCAGGCTTTCCTGTCCTCACCACCTACTGCGGGAAGTTCTATTACATAAAGTCAATATAAAAGGGCATAGTTGATGCAAAGAAATGTTTACCTTACACTGAAGTTATATTCACCACAAACCAATCCCTGACTCAGTTTCAAGGTTCATCAGTCATTTCCTGCTACCAAGAGGAATCCCAATAAGTGTCCTGATCCAAATGGTGATGTCATTTCCCATCAAATTCACAGAATGCCTACAGTGTGGAAATAGGCCATTCGGCCCAACATGTCCATACTGCCCCTCCAAAGAGCATCCCACCCAGACCCATTCCCATTCCCCTGCATTTCCCATGTCTAACCCAAACATCGCTGGGCACTATGGGCAATTTAGCATGACCAATCCCCCTACCCTACACATCTTTGGGACTGTGGGAGGAAACCGAAGCACCTGGAGCAAACCCACACAGACACAGGGAGAATGTGCAAACTCCACACAGAAAGTTGCCTGAGGCTGGAATTGAACCTGGGTCCCTGGCACTGTAAAGCAACAGTGCTAACCACTAAGCCACCGTTGTGCTGCTATATTGTTGTAAAATAAAGCTCACAAATATGATTACCTTATCATTATCCCAGCTTATAATAATGAAAACCCAGGATAATTATCAAAACCAATGGAAAATAAAACCATCTACAACCAGACTTCATTAACCATAGAAGAAAAATTAGCTCATCGCATGGAATTATATAAAATACAGCACAGAAATAGCCATTCACTTCAAATGGTCAACATTAATGTTTATCCGTCACACGAGCCTCTTCTTCATCTTATTCTATTCATTTCTCCCTCTTGAACTTATCCAGCTGGGCCAACATGCATTGATGCCATCTACCTCACCTGTACTTTGTGGTTGCAGATTCCTCAGTCCCACTACTGCCATTTAATGGGTTCACATAGCTATTCCAAGTAAGCTGAGAGTCAACACATTCAGTCTTTGGAAAAAGAATGATCTTGCTGCCAAAACACATGTGATGAAGCTCCTTCATGCAAACAAGAAGCCATAAAGTGGATCCTACTAACAGCCAACAATCATATTTTGCTCTGGCTCACTTACAAAACATAAATAGCACAAATTCCTCTTGAAAATAAACATCAAATGGTCGTTGGAGGTACCAGCTGGATACAAACAACTCAGGAACAAACCACTCAAACCAACACAGCAATTCTCAATTATAAAATGATAAAGGCTAGTACAAGAGGAATAATACGCTGGAGCATTCCCCTTCAGTTCGGTGCTTGTTATTTTGTTCCCACTCAGCTACACCACACAACTACAGCATATACAAAATACCAAAAATGCTCACCATTCAACTATGCAAAGTACCTTTTGGCATAGTTCACTAGTTCTACAGTCCATTTATTTTAAATAGCCTTTAAAGGCTCCTGTGAAAGACCAACGCACATTCGTTATAAACTGGGACACCTGTCCTGCCGCAAGGAAGGTTCCAGTTCAGTTCTCATAAACAATCTGCCAAGAAATGTTTGGTTTGGAGCAGGAATTGTATATCATTGGAGCAAGTAGAAGCTGCAGATTGGAATTCTAAACTGAGTCTAATTATTCAGCCACAACTCTATTAACATCACATTTCAAATACATCTTACCTTTAACCCAGGTAATCCTGGAAGGCCATTAGTTCCCGGAATTCCAGGTTCTCCCTGAAAGCAGATAAGACAAAAAAAGGGTCAAGGTGCTCAAGCATAACGAAGTATTAACTTACTTCTTTGGTCAAGTTTTTGCTCTTCTCTGCTAATATCTTGTTATATAATCCCTACAGTGTGGAAGCAGGCTATTCAGCTCATCAAAATAACACTGACCTTCCAAAGAGTATCCTAAACAGACTCACCTGCCTGCCCTATTCCTGTAACCCTGCATTTACCATGGCTAACTCACCCAACCTACACATCCCTGGACACTATGGGCAATTCAGCACTGCCAATCCACCTAGCTTGTACCTCTTTGGACTGTGGGAGGAAACCAGACCACGCAGAGGAAACCCACTCACATACAGGGAAATGTTCCAAGCTCCACACAGACGGTTGCCCGAGGGTGGAATTGAACCCGAGTCTCTGGCACTGTGAGCCACTGTGCTGCCCACTATTTGGCTTAATGTAGAGACAACACAGTGTGGAGCTGGAGGAACACAGCAGGCCAGCAGCATCAGAGGAACAGGAAAGTTGATGTTTCGGCTCGGGACCCTTCTCCAGAAATGGGGAGGGGGAAGGGAACTGGGAAATAGATAGAGAGAGGAGAGGTAGGGCTGGGGTAGGTAGGTGGGAGGTTGATAGGTGAGTGCAGGTAGGGAGTGGTGGGGATTGGTCAGTGAGGTGGGAGAGAAGATGGACAGGTTGTGTCAGGTCAAGGAGGCGGGGATGAGAGGGAGGGTTGGACAAGGGATGAGGCCAGGGGTGGGGAGAAGTTAAAACTGGTGAATTCCACGTTAAGGCCATCAGGATGTAGGCTCCTGAGGTGGAATATGAGATGTTGCTCCTCCAGTTTGCGGGTGGTATCATTGTGACACTGGAGGAGGCCCAGGATGGACATGTCACCCAGGGGGTGGGAGGGGGGAGTTAAAATGGTTGGTGACCAGAAGGTGTTGTCGTTTGTTGCATACAGAGCGCAGATGCTCTACGAAACGGTCTCCGAGTCTACGTTTGGTCTCACCGATGTAGAGGAGGCCACATTGGGAGCAGTGGATACAGTAGACCAAGTTGACGGATGTGCAGGTGAACTCCTGTCTGATATGGAAGGTTTGTTTCGTGCCTTGAATGGGGGTGATAGGGGAGGTGTAGGGGCAGGTGTAGCACTTCCTGCGGTTGCAGGGAAAGGTGCTGGGGGTGGTGAGGTTAGTGGGGAGTGTGGAGCGGACGAGGGAGTCGTGGAGAGAGCAGTCCCTACGAAAGGCAGATAGGGATGGGGAAGGAAATATCTCTTTGGTTGTGGGGTTGGATTGTAGGTGGCGGAAGTGGTGGAAATTTATACGTTAGGTGTGGAGGTTGGTGGGGTGATATGTGAGGACAAGGGGGATTCTGTCTTCATTTCTGTTAGGGTGAGGGGCTGTGAGGGCAGAAGTGCGGGAAATGCAAGAAATGCGATTGAGGGCATTTTCGATCACAGGAGGGGGAAGTTACGGTTCTTGAAACAGGAGGACATCTGGAATGAGAGTGGAACACCCCATCTTGGGGGCAGACATGGCAGAGGTGGAGGAATTGGGAGTAGGGGATCACATTGTTACAGGAGGGTGGATGAGAGGAGGTGTAGGCCAGGGAGCTGTGGTCAATCTCTGATACTTCCCTCTCTTTCCTGGACTCCTCCGTCTCCATCTCTGGTAACCACCTCAAAACTGACATCTATTTCAAGCCCACCGACTCATAGAGATGTGCAGCACAGAAACCGACCCTTCGGTCCAACTCATCCATGCCGACCAGATGTCCTAAATTAACCTCGTCCCATTTGCCCCAGTCCCTCTAAACCCTTCCACAGTAAACATTTTTTTCCTTGCACACAGTAGCGATCGTCATACTTTAACTGTCATATTTTATTGGCTAGCTTAAAGTTAAAAAAAAACAGTAAATCTGAATGAAAGAAGCAGTGAAAGTACAAGTCCAAAGCAAGCAAAATGGTTTAACTACTGCTGAATAGTCAATACTGGATTTCTGAAAGCAAATTCTGAATGGCCAGTCCGTAGAAAATTAAAAAAAACTCTAAGAGTAAACAGAATAAAATTACTAATCAAGTCACTTCTAATACTTTGAAAACATTTTTGTTACTTAAGAATTACAAGTCCAAAGTCAAAATTCACATTTTTCACAATACTTACCAATTACTTTTTGCTCATGCTTTTCAAATAATTTAGTTGAAGACTTCAATTAAAGGTAGCTCCTAGACTTTGGTCATCTTCTACCAGAAAATTAACTAAAAATCAATAGCCATCCATCTCTATTGACTTTGACCGAGTGCACCTTGCAGAATTTTCCAGCATGTATCATGTTTTAGAATTTATGCATATAAGCAGGAAGGTAAGCAGGAATTACAACCTATGATGATTTGAGAATTTCTCTGTTCAAAATATATTAGAAATTTCATTCTTAGCATTATTTAAGCCAAATTTCACATTCCTTTGTATCATATACTGTTCAAAGAAAGTTAGCAACGTCTGTGATTAATAGCAATCATGGCATGGAAGTTTTCCAGATCCTCAACAGTGCGGACAATGGTAAGTGGAATGGCTCTCGATGTGGAGGAAAACAAAGTCAGAATCCACAATCATGTTTTGATAAGCAAGTTACGAATCTCACTAGTAAGTGACAAGAGGCCTATCATACTGTTGGTACTAAATCTTGCCTCATTGATAGGTATCTTCCTGTTCTCCCATGTGTCTGAGAGGAACTAGATGGCAACATTTCCTGACATGAAGGTTTTGGGGATCACCTCGACTGAGGGACTGAGCCTATGACTCTGTGAAATGTAACTGCTGTTTCCTTTCAGCATCATCATCGAATCACAGAGCGCAATGAAAACAAAAATCACCAGAGTGGGTGAATGATGTATTTCATTCCTTGAGTGGGTCTACTCTTGTGAGATGTGAGACCCATCAAAGGATAATAGCATTAAACCATGCTAACCCGAACGTCCACACAGTACAAGGGAAAGAATATCTGTCATCACATAATGCTGCAGGAGGACCTCATGTGACCCACTGTGACAATTAAAAATCCTAGTCACAAGCACTGTTTACCACATCATTTAACATTACAAATCATTCCTACTACTGGCTGGGGGGTACATGAAATGTCTTGTGACGTCGAAAGATTAACAATAGTTGTCAAAGCAGCAACGATCTTCCAAGATCCTGGAGTTACTCACTTCACAACTTGGACTATTAAACAGTCCACACGATTGTGCTACGTGCAATGCTACCTTTCTTGGGGGTGTGGATGGGGACAGACATCCTCATTATTGTTCAACTTGCTACTGTAGGTGCATTAAAAGGCTTGAGCAATGTGTCAACAATGTGCATGTCCATATAGACCATCCCACTGGCTTCCTTCACCATGTCCCAGTATTTGATAGATGCTGTTATTTTTGTGTGTGCTGTGACTGCTGATTGCTCACATTACTGAGGAGCTGCTCTGTTTCTGATATTGCCCACAGAGGCTCATTGGAACAGTCCTCACTGGATCCAGGCACAGAAGCTGTGATCTCCCCTGTGGCTGCTGTGCAAAGGGGGGCTATATGCATGGATGAGGAATACATCCGTCTGCAACTCAGGACCAGCACCAACCTCCAACTGATATGAAACCAGCCCTGCTGAGGAACATCCAACCATATGTACTGCTACGGTGCGGTGAAGATGCTGGAAAGCCAGAGTCTCCCGTCTTCCATGCAATACAGTGCAGGTGGGAGAGGGGAAGGGACAGAGGTAGAGGTCAGAACACCATGGCGGACTGTGCAGTGTATCTGCAACACTCTCCACTGGGGCCACTGAGGGCCATCGGACACCCCTCCACATCAGATTTCTATGTAGGTTATGTGTGGGGCATTGTATCAGAGCCGTCCAGGCAGAAGATGCAACTTGATCGTGGGAGTCTCTGCTCTGGACAACTGGATCACACACTGAAGTGATGGCACAGACAAATGGGGATCTATGAGAGACTCAGCATTGCAATGAAGAGGACATTCTGCAGACAGAACAGCACCTTCAGCATCCTACTATAGTGTCCGCCAAAGCAACGCAGTCAAGACTTCTTTACAAAGTTCTTTCAAAGGAGGTGAGTTGCATGAAACCACCTTTCACTGACTGTGAATGTTTTGAAGCTGCTCCTGTGTAATCCCAACCACAAGTGCATTTTAACAGTTCGAACTTTCCATGCGATTCATGCTATTTAATAAATGTTAAGGTTACAAATGGATGTAGGCATTTACAACATCCGATCCTCCATAATTCAATCCTGACAAAGTTTCATGCCAGTATGGGTGCTATGGCAAGGATATCTACTGTTCAGACAGGGTTAGAACATCACCTTGTGCGAAAAATGGCCAGTCTCTCTACCTTCATTCTTGCAGCTGCTGTTAACCTAATATTTGCTTACACAGCTGATGATGAAAAGTGAACATATATTAACAAATGTGAGAATGCATTTAGATTGAAGTGTCACCATGCCATCTAGGAGCTCCCACTGAGTCCAGGTACCATCCTAGGGTCTACAGCTGGAGTGGAATGGGTCATGTTAGCCTTGGAGTTTTGAGTGGGTGACCAACCCAGGGGAAAGTTGAGACTAGAAGGCTAAGGCATGCTGTGTGAGACTGCACAGGCATAACTTCATCTCGCTCAGCTTGAATTTCCCACAGGGTTAAGTGTGGCAGGCCTGGAGGAGGTGCAGGGCCTGGCCAGCTCAGGGGTGTTCTAAGAGCAAACTTCTGATGGGGAGGAGCGAGTTCTGTATGCAGTTCCTCCTCTGGTGGATGCCTTTTGAAATCACCCAGTCTCCACGAGAAGAAGGGGCACCTAGAGTGAGGGTAAAGTCTATCATCCCTCTGTCACCATGCCACTGGTGTTGAATACCAATGGCTAGAGTGATGGGTTGCATGTCTGTGTGCGTATACAACAGTGTCTGAGACTGCTTTCCGTGACAGCTTCCAACCTGTCTATGAGGGC